TTTTATTCATTTACGAGCAAGTGAGATCAATATCTTGGAAAAGCTCAAATCTGTTTATAATCCAAATTAATTGTTTACTTAAGGGATATTAAGAAGTTTCCACGGGCTATTTACACACATAAGCAACTCGGTACAGTAACCGAGACCTACCGTTGGGGAATACGCAGCAAACAAAAGTTCGGGCATGTGAAATAACTTTCGGTTTCGATTAGTTCTTTCCTGTGCGAAACGGTGTTGCTGAATTTCGAAACATAAACTCAGTATTTCAGGCGTTAGCAAAATCTCGTCGTCTATGATTGACTTTACAGACACAAACAAAGCGGAATAACGACAAACGGAAGTAAAAATACAGAGCGAAAGAACTTAAAAGGAGAACGCAGTAAAATTAGATTACGAAATATATGGGGTGGAAATTTTGTCTTGAACACTGAATATACTGTGCGTTCGAAATGAGAGGGTCTCATTTATTTGGCGAGATTCAAAAAATGGTCAAATATAATTTTGTATGCGACATCACGATCGATCCGATGGCATATTGAAATTTTTCGTATCATTTCGGAAATCTTACAACTTTTACATTTTTTAAGATCTTTAAAAAAAGCAACACGCGACTAGTACAGATACCACCCGCATCCATAGGCATGCCCAAAACCTTTTCGGCTCTTCCTTTTATGTCTAAGAATATGTGTACCATTGGTTCCAATCGGTTCAACCGTTTAGCCTGCAATGACAGTACAAACAGACAGCCCGACATAATCAAGATTTTGTTTCATTCGGGTTCCTGGTGCTTTAGAACGTGTATTTCAGTAAAAAAAAGTGGGAGGTAAAAATGAAGAAATTCGGCATTCAATACTTAGGATGCATGCCGTGTGCCGTTAGGATGCGCGCTGTCTGTTATGTTACACGGGGATATCGTATCGCGCAAAAGGAACATTGACCAAGTTGACATAGGTCTTTTCTGTGTAACAGTGCAACACAACAGACACCGCGCATCACAACCTCACACGGCATGATACTTTTCTAAGCATTGAATCCCGAATTTTTCCATTTTTTGTATATCAACCATATGCATATTTTTTGTAATCGTTTTGTAATCTCGAACACAGTGTAGCTTTAAAACTAGAATTGTTGTAACAATGTTGTTTTGAAGTCATTAAGTGTTCCAGACAAAATTTACAACCCGTATACTTAAAACACAGCAGTCACAAAAAAATTAGGGGAAGACAGGAGAGAAAAGGGGATGAATAACCCTCAACCACCTCAGCTAAGGTTACTGTTTTCGTTTTGCATTTATTCTCGAATTATTATTAACCCCGGACGTAAATTTCATTGTTGTACCATGCATTTTTCTGGAGATAATGCACGTAGGTGGTTGGTTTTTAGAACCCCATGTGCAGTCAGAAGTTTTTGTTTTGTATTTATTTTCGAACCCTCTGTGGAAGTTCCACCGTCATACCGTGCGTGGCTCCAGATAATGTACGGGGGTGGCTTTTTCAACCTCTTTAGGAGGCAGTGTATAATACCAACACTGCCTATAATTCCAGAAATTTGATTCTACCAATCCTGGCTCAGCTTGTTAGAAAATATAGCAATGCAATTCATCTTTGTAAGATAAAGCTCGTATTGGATCAGAATTTACAAAGGCGGTACCTATAAATATGAGTGTAAATAGTGGGAAAACAGCATTCGTTAAGCGACTGTACGAGGTCCCAAATCTGCGTTGGTCACATTTTCAAAAGTTAAACCGCCCAATTGGTGAATCCCGAGAAATTAAGCCAAGGGCGAGCCATCCCATTATCTCTATCGAGCCACCGTCGCCCTGCGGAAGAGCATTTTCGCGGTATTTCAAAGAAAGAAAACAACAAACAATATCCATGGCGTAACACAGCGGGGATTCTATAGCAGGTCCGTGCAGAGAGCAGCTCGAGGGCCAATTTCAATTCCACACCGAAGAAACGGCCTCAGCTGTTACCGGGTGGAGATGGTGGCGACAGCGTCCAAACAAGCGATATATTTAACTCTAGGAATTAATATGTACAAATCTATTCTGTATAGGACCGCGCGATGGCGGCGGCATCGTAGTGCTGCTGGGCGGTGGAGGCTTGAGGGCTCCGCGGGACGGAGGTTGGCTCGGCGTGGCATCTGGACGGCGCGGCAGAACGCCGTGGCGATGGGAACTGGATTG